CGATTTTATTGAGGTCCTGACTCATAATAACGTTATTGTATGATCAGAATTTTATCAACGGTTATGTGAATGCCGAAGGTTTTATAAAACACAGCGCCATCTAGTCTCAACGTAAAGCAGACCTTGTGTTAGGGGTACTAGACAACTGATATAAATACTTTTTTTTTGTAAATACGTACAGAATATTACATAAAAAACACTCAAACCGATACAAACAATGATACTAATGAATACAAAGGTTTACATCATGCAAGGAACGAACTCGTGAACAACGGAAAGCGGTGAGTTAAACCGCTAAACCACCGAAGCCGTCAATCTTATATTACTACCTTTATAGATAGAGCTGGTTTTACCTGTGATTTTATCCACAAAAGAATATACAGTACATATATATACCTATTGACAACCAATAAAAAGTAACTCTTCCACTATCGCATATCAGTGTTATATATAGGAGAGGACTCAATTACCCTGTTCCTAGTAATTTAGAAATTACAATGGAGTTACCACCGCTCATTCTAAATCATGACGGATCCGTAGATCCTGGATACAATCTCTTTTAATACCTGGCAAATTCACAACGATGGGCTGACTGACCTGACTCCTCCTATCGCTCTTCACTGGTGCCCTGCCAGAATATACCGTTAGCACAGGTGGGCGCGTCATTACGTCATCATCCATACAAAATAAAAATATGTACTACACTTGACATTTGAATGAGCCGCTAAAGCCAAGATTTAACAATCAAATAAACTAATAAACTTCTACATCTAATATTAATAGGAATAAAATATAGATATTGATTAAATAGAGATCATTAAATAGCAATTAGTTAGAAATACTAACTGTATAGGTTGGCACCAACTGTCATATGGTATTAACAATCAATTCAACGAATTCTAATGAATAACTGCGTAAAATAATTTAGAAATAATGACAAAAATCGCTCTTAATTTTATAGTTGCTTCATGTTTCCGGCGTTTATACCAAATAATATGTATTTTGGTTATTGTAGGTGCTTGTACTCGTAGAATAAATGGATCTTATCAGACTATGCCGAAGCAAAATGATGGGTGCATATTTATTGTTGAGTTTATATCTTTATGTTTAATGTTTATGTTCTGTTCCAATTTTCTGACTTCCAATTGAAGTTAACTGTTAGTATATAATATTAAAGTGCAATAATAAGTCAAATACGTTGTACTAATAACCTCATTCCTAACAATGTACTGTATCAACTTGAACTCCACGCGGCTCCTCCTGGAAACCGTCGTGATACATTCCTGGTGAATTTACCACGATATGCTAACTGACCTGACTTGTTGATCATTTTATCATCCTCCACTGATGCCCCGCTAGCGTAAACCATTAGCGGTACAACATTCCATTATCATCCATAAAAAAAATGTTGGGACCTACTTTTATTGTCCGATTTTTTTCCTCTACGATGCAAATGTATTTTGATGTAGATGTATTAGTGAAGTATCTTAAGTACTACTATTATCAACTAGTACATGTCAGTATGTTCTGATATATATTGTTGTAATTCTTAGTGGAATCAAAAATAGCTTATCATAATACAAGTGTTAAGAGTAATTTGAAACCACATGGCAATGATGGTTTTATCTCAAACAAATCCATGACAAATCTCGGGAAACTTTCCGCACTTGAGTCAAGAACTGTCGTTTATTTCAATAAATACCCTTTCTCTGTGAGACTAGTTAGCGTCTGTCTCGCAAAGAACAAAACTCATTACGAACACTCCGTGTCGTTTTTAGTTGAGCTCCATCGATCTTTCGACGTGTTTCCTCTTCAAACAGTGCTGAAATGTGAAACTTCACGCCATATATACATACATAGGTAGTACTTCTAAAGTTTTATGATTTCCGAGTTCTTCATATTATATTGTAGGTATTAAACTTGTAAACAACTTGGTAATCGTAAAATTGCTTTCAGGAAAATGAAATCTATAACATTTTTCATGCTTATTACGTCGGTGTAGGATTTAATATTATTTTTATATTTCAGTACATACCTAAGGCAAACACAGAAATTGGATTACGCCAATTTCACTGCATTCATAGATTTTCCGTTATATTTTTCGAACAAATTCTCACGATTACCTCTCTATCTATCAGTATTCTTGGATTCAGAAAAAAAATTGGAAAACTTTTAGAAATAAATTAAATTTCATTTAAATACATTTTTTTTATTTGTTTGGTGTATGAAGTCGAGTATGCCGAGACAGTTTTTCTAACTATATTATGCTTTTCCGCATTGGTACATTAATTTTTATGAAATATGCTTTTAAAGCGATGTTTTACATTCTCAAACATTACGTTTGTGTTGACCTAACGCAAGATGAAACGATATCGCAGAGGATATATACGGAGTCGTGTAAGCAATTGTACAAATTGAGCATAACCAACCGACCTAGTGGATCAATGGTGCGTGAAATGGTCGCTTGATACGCTCTTGACTTATTTTATCGGTTATTCGACTCGATTCCTTGAACTTTTATTGAATGTCGGCAGACTTTTGATATAATAGAGGTTGGGATTGGTACAACTAAGTTTATTATTGAACGACTGTAATAGCTAGTATTTTTGATGGCGTATATAAGTTACTACTTTGTTAACAAAATTTTTACGTAGGTATGCGTACTTATTACGTATTCTAAATGGGTTAGTCAGAGGTTAAGTGTAAAACTTGAAATATCTCCTTTTTGTAAAAGTGGTAGAGCGCTAGCTTACAATCGTCTCACGGATTAATTTGGTTTGTTATCGGTGTTTTCTTCACTTGAGAGCATCGCAGTGGCCTAGCGGTTTTGCACACCGCTTTATTTTCGATGGTCACGGGTTCGATTTCTCGATAAGTATGATCGTTTGAAACGGTCCCGATGTTTTGTTGTTTTGTTGTTGACGGTTTTGATGTATATTATGTATGTATTTATAAAATTAAAATAAAGTAGATGATGGCGCAGTGTTAATTGTACAGGATTACAATTGAGATTGAGTCAGGAATATATTACACAGAAAGTTTTTAAGGTTAGATTTGTAGTCATGTCTTTTCAGGGCAGTCAACAAGGCTTCAAATTAATTTGAAACCTAATATACGTGAAATTGAATTTTAATACAAATATTGTCAAATCGTAACTTAAATTTTAAGTAGATACCTTATAGCGAGATACGCTCAAAGCTCACCTCAGTTCAGCCACTTATGCTACTGTTCTTTTCATACATACAGAGTCCAGACAAACGGAGCATGAATAATGTATTGTGAAACGGGAACGCACTTACATGCCATTATGTTCTGTAGTTACATGGACGTAGCTCTTACATTATATTCAAATAACTAATACAGACAACACCTATAATAGTTTAAAATTCTACATTTAACACAAACGTACAGATAGACAACGAAAGTACTTCACTTTATATTATATCAGATTTTCCCCCATATTTGTGTGCATTTTTTGAGATGAGTGATGAGTTAATGTAATCTCACAGCGAGTTTTATTAGAATGGTTTCAGCCGTTTCGGCGTAAAAATGTGGGTAAATAGACAGATACACTAAGGCATACTTTGTAATATTATTAATATAAATACGGAAGTAGAAAATTTAATATAAAACATCTGGGAGAGGCTGAAATAGGAGATGAAAGGTTATGCAGACGATATCACGGGTAAACATCATAAAGAGAGTAAATAGTGATTGACACATTATATATAGATTAGTGTTTTAGAGGTATTGTCAGTTACCAAAATTGTAGTGAACGAAACACCTAAATATTATAGGTAAATATTTTAATAGATGATAATAGAATGGTGCAATAACAAGGTAAGAAGAAGAAGAGGTCTGGTCAGTAAGCGCGTCGTGGCGTATTCACCACGAATTTATCGAGGTGGGTTCCAGGAGTAAACGTAAACCGACGTGGTACATTGCTAGCACTGAGGTCATTAATCCCCATTACTAACAATCCCTTTCATACATATATAGATAGATATACTCACATTTTCCTGACATTTAAACTCAAGGTGGCAACGAGACTTTCGCCGTCACTCGGATTAATTTGACTATAGGAGATTTCATCTCCTGATAGTCAGAAATATAAATTGATACAGATTTATTTTTGTCCAGATTAGTGCTCACCATTCTATCTAAGTCGGAGTAACAAGTCAACTAAGCCACAACGTTCTCTCGGTAATGAATGAGACAAAAGGTTGGCTTGTTTTCTTTGTAAAATAAAACCAATAAACATATAGTACAGAGTTTATTTTCATAATATTATATACTCAGATATAACAGCAATTTTCTTTCAAACATTCTATCACCTTTCCAACAATATTTACATACTTAGATTGGAAATCATTTTCATGTTGACATATAATGTGCATTAACGTAAGGGATGATATTGGTAAGGTATGGTGTATGGGGTAACTAAATTCCTGTTTATAAAACGAAAAACTTTATCAATCCTTTCTAGATTATATTTCCTTAGTGAAAATAAAAATGTTACAGGCAGGTCTTATTACCAATGTACGGTTTAAACATATAGGTAGAATTAAAACTTTTGTGAACTAAAATTATTGTATATGTACCTATTATTTATTTCTATCATCGGAATGGTAAACAAGCTAAAGGCCCGCCTGATGGTAAGCGGAAACCGTCGCCTACACATGATCACCATTAATGACGTCACGTTATTATGGAACGCCCATTTTACCATTCATGTATCGCTATTGAAGTAAGATGTCATGTTTTTTATTCTGTAATCTCATTGTTTAATCTCACCTTTCAACCAAAAGATAGCTTACTGCAACAACAATAAAGCAAGCTACGTCAGAAATAGAAGAGATATTTCTGTCGCAACTTTTTATAAAGTGTAATTCTAGTAATGTTTTAATTATTATATGTATTATTTATTTATTTATTCTATGTGTTTGCATACATAATGATTGTTAATAGAATAAAACGCAAAGTTTTTGCAGTTCATCTCATTTCCAGTTTACATTGGATTCCGTAAATTGGGTTTGTTGATGAATTGCTGATATGTGAAATTGTACAATCGGTTACATGAATTCTGCTATAAATTGACTCGTAAATTGCCGAATTGCAAATCGTCTAGAATCATATTAGGAATCACTAAAGCGGATATTTGGGGCTCTCACGTTACCTCTTTCATAGTATTTTAGCGATTTCTCAATATTAAATTTCAGGTTATAAAGGTCGATATGTATAAATAAAGGGAAAACGGAATTTTTGTATGATCCTTACTTTGTGGCAATAATAAAGTCCTGCGGGACCTCATCGATTTTGTGTGCTGTCAGAAAATCTTGTTAACTTCACTGAAACGTGAAATTAACAAGTTTTTCACGAAATATGTAAAAATATTTACTTTTACAAACCTACAAAAAAAAACAAAAAACAAAAACAAGATTTCTTGAAAGAATTTGTTTTACAGTTTATTCTTATATATATTTATAGTTTATTCACTTTTATTTAAAATAAAGTGAAAATTTTGACATATTCATGACATTTTCGATATTCATACTGGCATAACTTTTTTCTAGGGATTTCCGCACCTTGTAGGTATGATTTACAATCATATAAGACAAATTGAACATGGTTCAACCATCCAAAGTTAGTATTTAATGCCTGTAACGCATCTATACGCCACAAACCATGCACAAAAATATATATTTTTATACATTTTAAAGGATACTGAATATAAAATGATTCCTTCCCCGTCCCTCTGATTTCTCTACCACATTTCTTCTGCCAGATTAAGTTACGTATACGAGTCTTTACAGTCTACCTCAGTGTAGTCACCACTACACCGAGGTAAAAAATAGACAAAAAAAAAGTATTGTATATTTAACCTGTACCATATTAAAACTTTGTAATCACCACATGAATATAGATAGTACAGTTCTACTTCAATCGAGCGAAAAAATAACAATAATGGTAATATGACAACATGAAAATGATTCCAATACATTCCTGGTCCTCACACACCCTCATCGACTCCTTTTATTCTAACTACATAGTTATTCATTTTACAAAACTTAGAGCGTGCCATTAAATGGCGTCTGCATAATAACAGATTCTATTACGTCTTTACAATATAATATTTTATTTTATTTATGCGATAATATATTTTTCTCTTTTGTAATAAATGTACGTCCCCTGATTTAATTTCATTTGAGTATACAAGCTCCAAATAATAAGAGGTGAATTATTAAAATAAAATTATTTAACTTTGTGTTTCGTTTGAAATAAATTTGATAAGAAGCAAGTTGAAGAAGAATTGATATAAATTAGACATAATATTGTTGTTGTAAATAAATACAATATTTATTACACGCTGCCATTGAATAATAAATTAAATATTGTGTGCAACTGGCGCACGAATTTCATTGCAAAATACATATCACATAACTTAATTTTAGATTAAAATATTACTTAAAATAGTATAAATAATAATAACCGTAACATTAATATGGCAACAAAATACAATTACTAGCTAAGCACCTATACCAGTAGGACTTCAGGTATTTACAGTAATTTCTGTACAGTCAAACCTTATATAATTTATCGTTATCACTCGTGTATAATCGTTATACTTTTTCACTTAGTAAAATTATTGCCAATCAGCTAGTATTTAACAACATTAAAGATTCTTCAAATAATATTATTTTATTATTATGACGATACACTTGAGGATTCACATCCATAATTTTAAATGCAGAAGTATTGTAAAGCTTCAATTATAATTTAAATATTAATTTTAACACTACTATAATAATGATACCAAAATTATTTACAAAATGAAGACAATACGATATGCACTGTACATTTATTGCAGACAATCGTCAATTATATATTTTTAAATGCATCGTTATTGCGATCTGCATTCGAGATTCTAATATATCTATGTTCAGGGACTAGCTACACATCGTGCCCGGTCTACAAGTCCGCATTAGGCCGTCGCCAAACGCAGATCCCTTGCGAGATCATGTCTTTTATATCAGACTAAGTTCTACCTGTAGTCACACTTCACACACGCTTTACTTTCCACTCACAACTTCACAATGATATGGGGAACAAAGATCTCACTGGTTTTGTCGAGTGAGCAGAGTCTTGTCACATGGTACTTGAGTTGGTATTTAAGTGAGACAATGGCGAAGGCCTGTGAACATAGCCAAATTGAATACTATGGAGAGGAGAGGTCGTGGTGTACCTGCTGCTGCCGTCTCGGGTGTCGTTGTGTAAGGTGTCTCCACACCTTCATACTGTCTGTTACCTGTTTATATAAAAAAAATGTGTGTAAATAATTAAACAATGAATAATATAAATAATAAATACCGTAATTAAAAGTTCTTCCGAAATTAGTACTATCGGTATCAGAATGTTACGATCTTAAAAAATTATATGAATAAAAACTAGATATATTAACTTTACAAAAAAAAACACCTACAAATATTTTTCACATACTAGACTAGACTAGGTAATTTGTCTGATATTAATTTATTTATAACAGAAATCCGTTGCTTTGATTTTAACATAAATCTTAAAATATATTATTTGAAGACAATAGCTAAAACATACGTCTAACAAATACCCAAAAAATCTATCAAATCAGTAACGTAACTTGTAAATTTTCCGTTTGGAAGTTGATTGATAAAAAAGTAAGCTTACCGGTTTCGTGCATACCGGAGCCCTCTTCTCCAGATCCCTCGGTATCGTAAGACGCATCATCATCGTAACTGCGATAATTTCCGGAACCTTCCTCGCTGGCCTCATCGCCTTGCATGAACACGTCCGGAGAATTTATGTCGCTTCCTATTGTTGTTCTCACCAGCAACTGTTGTAAGATATCAAAGATTATCTTTAAAAATGTGGATACCCAAAAGTATTTGTTGTATATTTGTAAAAATTAATATACTGATGTATTGAATATTATTTATTTCTGTATATTATTACAAAAAGTAAGAGAAAATTGGAGAGCACAGATACCAAACTGACACTAACTTGTATACCACTACAAAACAAAGAAAACAAGTATTTAAGTTTGCGCGAATAAGAAATGTTTATTTACATTTGTAAATATTATTTAGGTAGGCAAGAAAACTTTAAATCTCAAACATAAAACTTTAATACAGGAGAGTAAAACAGTAAAAATACGACTAAAATGAATGACGATAGGTAAATCCAACATATCAAATTGGATATTGTTACGACAAAAGTAAACTCCGGAGCCACTAAATCGATTTGAGAATTGTCTGAAGAGTATATTATTCTATCGTGACGTAAGCTAATTATATATTATTTTAATATGTATATAAAAAAACTTATATGTTATGTGCACGCTGCTGACCATTAATTAGAACATTCCATCAACTTTTGTAAATCAGTTAAGGCAACTTTTGAGCTATTTATATCCATAGATATACTTAAATGAAGACTGAAATATAAAGCCTTAAAATTATATAGGCAATAAAATGTTTAATACGAGATACCATATCACGACAGGATCTACTGCATGCATATAAACAATATTTGTGTACGAGTTCTAAAACGAAACTTTTGGTGATCACTTATGATTTTAACGTCAGATAATAAAGTCTAGCTACATTAATTAACGTCAATACACGACTTTCAAGTTATTCAAGTCACCATTGCGTGAACTGATACGTCATTGCAAGGCAAAAAATTCTACGAAAATATTAATAGTTAATTAAAAACATACATATTCATAAAAACATTGATATTGGAATAGCTGAAAGTTCTTTTGTTCGTTTTATTAGCCCTAAGCTCCAAGCTACATTTTAGATTCATTTGGATTATACTGTACTATTACTAGCACCACTATTCACAGTTCTATATTACACATATTTATGTTGATGGATATAAGTGCACAGGTGTTTATATAGTTTTTAGTGAAGATTGAAATATATGCAAGCACGTATCTGTAATAGATAACTAATTAACAAATAAGATATATTTTTTTGTTAGATATCACGTATTTGGTATAAAAATCCACCCTCAAAAAATATATTTTTAATTTTTTACAGAATCCAATATTTAAAAATTGTTAAATAAATATATTATAGATAGTTCATCAATAGTCATATATGGTTTCAATATCATGAAGATATCTTGAATAGGTACTGAGAAAAAAAAATTCGTCAAGGGTTTTCCCCCTATTTATTCTCTTACTATAGGGGTTAGGGGCGTGAGATTGAATGTATGGCTATTTTAGATAAAAAAACAATAAAAACAAAGTAAGAACCCTTCATCAGACGTGAGTGCAGATTTCATATGCTTAACCCACTAGATCCTTTATTGCCTCTTTATGATCTCGTATTCTGATAGATTTTTCTTTTGCGTGAAAAAGTAACAATCTTCCATCCACCCATACTCACAAACGCCCGCGTTTATAATACGAGAAAGATAATTTATTTTATTTTTACAAATACAATATCAAAAGTAATAAATACAAATTAATCACCTGTCTTGCCTGCTGCAACTTGTCACCGAGAGCTGCCACTCTTGGGTCCCGAGGAATGTCCAGCACCTCGGGGTTATATTTTTGATCGATTAGAGACGAGGACACCAGCGGTTTCGTATAACTAAACAAAAGAACAATATTTTTAATCATACAGGTAATTATACACTTTTCTATTTTTATGTGATGAAAATGGAATGTTGTATCCGCTACTAACGGTATATGGTGGTGGTCAGTGAGGGATGTTAGAATGATGAAGTCAGGTTGGTTATCTCATTGTGATAAATTCATTACGAATTCACCACTATAGTTTCTATTACATCGCTAGCAATGGAATCTCTAATTATAATAGCAATCCCTTTCCGTACTATTTGTAACAATAAACAAACATTGTTTTTAAAAAGAGTTAATACCTTTATCTGTAAGAAATAGAATGGTGAAATGTGAACAAATTATATTAAATATTAGTACTTGTGCATTTCCAAAGGTAGACAGGGATATTATTGCTTTATGCAACATAGAATGCAGTTGGAAGTACGAATATGTATATATTATCAACTTGGGAATAGTGGCTTTTGATGTCTGTGAAACCGCGGTCACAATGTTTTCAATTTATTGTAAGGAATTTGACTACATTATATATGTAGAATGACGGCCTTGGATAAATACAACTTTAGTACACCGTCTTATCTCTGATAGTCCCTGGTTCGCTTTCTCTTTTGTTATTTGCATTTAACTACATTATTTTACTACCTGTTTATGAAAAATGTAGATACATAGCTCATTAATTTTAAAACGACTAAAATTGCAATAAATTTGTATTATTTGGAAATTGTTTATTTTTAAATACTTACTCTCCAATTGATTTGCCGTTCCAACAATTATCGTCTCCATCTTGTGCAAAGTCCAGTTCATCACATAGATAATCTCCAAGATGGGCGAAGAGTTTCTTTTTCCTGGACAAAGACGCGGCAAAATCTAATAGTATAGCATCAGGTGGCGGTGCGTTCAGTGCATTCCGTCGCGTTGCACCAGGAGAAGGTAGTGGAGATGTCAGACTTGATGCCTCCATCGTCATGGTCACACCGCACTCCTTGTGTACCTGTTAACAATACAATTTTTAGGTCAATGGAATGGAAAACAAGCTAATGGCCCATTTAAGTGTAAGTAGAAATCGTCGCCTATATACATATGTACATGAACAGCAGCATTTATACTATCCTGATCATCAGGATGAATGGCAGTCGTCCACCGTGCGTTTTTCCAGACTTCTTTTGCCTAGCACAACGACTTATGTGGTATCTTCCAGCAATGGTATTTTCAATCCGATCCGATATTGAAATCTTCAAGAAAAGAGTATATTCCTTTTTCTTCATCCGTATGCGTATGAACACGGTTGAATTATATTCGAGTGATTCTATTCTAACATATATACCTAACAGAAAATAAATTACCTAATTGGTGTATTACAAATTTTATATTATATTTAATATTTATACACTTTTTATTTTATGTTGAAAAGAAACAGGAATATAATAGTATTTTGTGTTTCCCTTTTTATTCAATAACTAGTTTTATATATTTGTTTACTTGTATAATTAATAATATCCTCCACAATATAATAAAAATAAAAGAAATTTTTAATTTTGGACACCTTTTGCCTTATAACATATAGAAGATTGTCTACAAACCATTTTAAGTACAATAACTAAAAACATTATTATCATAGAGATCTCCCAGCCCCTTCCACTCAACATACCTTTAAATGTTGTATGTGTATCAAGAGGATAAAAAACTCGCAATGACAGTAGTTCAAAATCCGTCCCACATAGTGTAGATGAAGATAAATTACAAGCACCGCCGATGTTCATATCATTTGTCCGCTGCATCATCACGTGAGCAGATCGGAATTTGCGCGGAAATAGCGACGGGCCGCGGTGAACTAGCGCCAACAGTAGTCCGATTCCAATTTAGATTAAACTTTACGACCTTTATAAGTGTAACAGTATATACTTACAATAAAGTATTTGTCATTAATATACGTGTTTATGACATTCAATTCGATATACGATATAGACAAGATACTTTGTATATCTTCTTCAGAATTATATTGGCCAATCTAACATTAATTAAATATTAATTAAATTCTTAATTGTCTAAAAAAGCAAAATACTAGCAAAAAAAGTAAGTAGTATATGTACATAGTTCACATGAAGTATTCTCTCTCGTTCAAAAAAGAACAAACAGTTTTTTTTAAATTATTCATAACATTGTAATATTAGCCATAAGTAATCGAAATACAATATATTTATTTTGCAATAAAAAAACAACAGGTGCAATAGATTTATTTTATTATATGATCGATCTTTTTATGAATTATGGTTTCAGTAAGATCAAAACGGTCTATCGAATCAACGGACTCAGTCTTTGAAACAAGAAAGGCTAAGATTAAATTACTCCTGACCATCAAAATTGAATCTATATTACTTTTATAATATCTGGAATATTTATTTGATTCAATAATCTTTATAATAGTAGTATTATATTCTCAGTATGGTAATTACTTCTAAACCGAATTTTAGATATCCTATATTTTTAAATCTTCTCATTTGGTACCCATTATTAATATACTTCTATTCATCATAAAATTTCGCGTTAAAACCCGTTAAATTATTTTAATAATCAGATATTTTTATTACAGAGAATACGTATGTGGCCGGCCTTAGTGGAATGTTTTGTTGGTGTTATGTCATCTGATTAAATGGTGGAATTACTATTTGATTGTTTCTATGTGCGGACAGGCTACTCGTGCCGCCGGCCGCCGTGTGAACGCCCGCAGCGACTCGCGACACACGCAAATAAACTATAGCAAGTTGGCTTAAAAGTTGGCTCAATGTGTACTGTGCACTGAGACCGCAAATAGTAACGTCGTTTTCAACATATTCATATACAGTGCATCTATTCTTAAGACAACATTCCTAACAAGGAATGTATGCAATTTAGAGTACCTTATATCGTTTGGGTATAAAGAATATCACTTTTGGGGAAGGGGATTGTTAGTGGACTGTTGACCCCATGAATTGCAGGGCACCATGTCCGGTTGACTTCCACGCAGTTCCCCCTGGGAGCCATAATTATAAATTATTGGTGAATTTGCACAATGGGCTAACTAACCTGACCTCATGCTCAGTTTATCATCTTCCACCGGTGCCAGCGTAAACCGTTAGCGCAGGCGGGTGCATCATTACATTATCAAACATAACATCCCCCCCCCCCCCCATTCATTATGGGCTGACCTGCATGTTATCGCATACCGTTACAGTAACTTTACAAACAAAGCTTAAAAGTAAATGTGGTCTTAACTGATGAGAAAAGGCCTTCTATAGACTAGCGCTGATTAATACATTATGTGCTATAAAAATGTATGCATGAACAAACTATTAATAAGCAATAATTAGTTTTTTATTCATCTCATGAACATAAGAGTATGCTATTAAATACAAAAAGAGTCTGAACATTAATATTGTAAATATTCATTAGCACTTTGAGTTTCGCATTGCCGTAACCGGATCAGGGCTGCCAGTATATGAGATATTGTTGATGATTTTCTTTTCAATTCGGATATTATTGTATCATTGTCCTCGTACAATTTATATGAGAATTCTGAGAAAGATTTGCACTGTAATCAAAATGTTTGAATCTAACTTAGATCCAAGTAAGTATTTAAGTAGAAATTAATTAATAAGAGTAGATTAATCTGTACCATGTATATTAATTATCATTATAAACAGGTATATTTTTTATCTATAAGAAGTTATATTGTTAACAGGAAAATAGGCTGTATTCATATAAAAGCAAGTTATGGTTTGTGCAAAAGTCATATCATATTGGATACTTTTTGAGGATTTCTATCTGCATTGTATTTACGAAGCAGAATGTTTGGCAACCTTAAACCAGCTCGCAATGCCTATACTGTAACAAAAAAAGTAAAAAACGTTGTCTGGGTTTATATTGAAAAGTATTAGTTGCCGCGGGTGGGCAATTGTAATTACAGTGAAAGAGCCCAGGATAATATATAAAGCGGCATAAAAGCACCGCTGGCGATGAGCACAATGCCCTGGATGTATTAAGAAATGGCAGTTGTAATTAAGACAGTGTTATTGCGCTAAATAGTATGGCGGTATTAGTGTGGGGGAAAGCGGCATTTGTGCGGTGCCCTTTAATTATCTACCAAGTATATTTACCGAAGAATATTTTTACGTAGTTGTATATATATTAATATTGTTAGTATTAAGTATACTAGTGACCTACCACGGCTTCGTATGAATGCAATTATTTTAAGAATTATCAATATTTTTATGAACAACTCAATATAAGTCCAATGATCTATTTCATTCAGCACTTTTTTTATATGATGCTAATTGTGCACCCGCCTGTGCTATCGGTTTATGCTGGCGGGCACCAATGGAGGATGATAAGAAGAGCATAAGGCCAGGTCAGTGACAAATTCACCAGGGATTTACACGCAAGTTTCCAGGGGAATCACGTGGACGGTAACCTGACATGGTACATTGCTAGCAATGGGTTCATTAATCCACATTACTAATAATCCTCCCCTCGCCTCCGATGATACTTATAACATCCCTTTTTGTTACTTTATGAGTGTTATGAATTTTTACGCAAGTTTATTGATTTTAAATTATTTTTACGATTTTAGTGTAGATAAAAATATAGTTACGCAAAAATCAAATTTGTATAGGATATACCATGGATACATACATATAATATGGAATACCTTTATGTTATTCTTACTAACTCGTACATAGCGTGGCACAAGTATAATAATAGCACTGCCCGCGGTTTCACTCGCGTGAAATTTATGGTTATGTGTTACTCTGTATAATCTATATTATTGTAAAGTTTTACTAAAATCCTTTCGGTAGTTTTTACGTGAAAGAGTAACAATCAACCTCTATACATCTACAGTCACAGACTTCACGTTTAATATATTAGTAAGATTTCGGTGTACATAGGTATCAACTTATTCATAGGTGTATAGAAAATAAACGCCGTATTCAATTCAGTGATGGTGCAAAAAGTGTTGTATCCGGGTACCGAGTCCGGAATGACGATATAGCATCGTGAATGTGAATTGGGCATGACGACATGTTACTGGACGTGGACGGATTTCCGTGGGATGTGCGATTATTGCTGTATGTAATGTTACATTCAATGCATGAACATACGGACTAAATGACAAGAGTCCGTATGATAATAAAAATATTAGTGTGGCATTACCTATACTATATATATTTCGTAAAAAGAACATTCCCATTTTTTAGTAAGATTACAGAGAATCTTAGGAATATATGAATTATCCATATATATATATATTATTAAATGAAATATTGTGTACATTTATCTTAATTCTTAATAAAAAATATTAGAAATGCAAATATTTTTGAGTATGGATGTATGTTACTCTTTCACACAAAAACTACTGAACGAATTGTAACGAAACTTTACAGATTATTGTACCTTATTACAGATCACTATACCTATTAAGATATAGCTTATACATCGGAATAACATACAGGCTATATATTTTTTATTGACATTTATAAAATGAATATTAAAATTTAAGAAATTAGTTAGTAGTAGTAGTAGTTTTAGTTTGTAATATTTTCACTTGTACTGGCTTATGGATTGTAATAAAAAATGTGAAGATTATACCAAAGTAAACGAGGTTGCAGGTAGTTAGTAAAATATAATTCACACCATCAGTGTCACCAAGTGACCCCTTTACTAGCAGTGTATCATGTCAGATGGACCAATACGCTTTCTATCTTGAAAACTGTTGTATTTCCACTGGCAATATTAATTCTCTGTTAGATTATGGCAATAATAACCACGCCTCTTTGACATTTGTCTTCTGTTCTATCTCCGATTCGCTCTGTATATTTTAAATAATAGTTATGTAAATAAAGTGTTTAGTTCTATGTTCATTGTTAATTAATCATTTCTAATATTAGACTGTGTCAAAATATAACGGAAATCTACTTGAAGAAATTCCTGGTGCATTCTCTACGATACTAACTATAT